TGTTTACATGATGCTAAGTTGCATCATGGGGGAGACTCCAACTGCCAAACTATTGAGAACCCTGGCCCAGGGAAGATGGCACAAACCTAAGTATGTATATGACATGTACCATATACAATAAACTGTAATGCCATGGAAAGATGAAAAGTTAACTAACATGTATCAACTTTGATTAACCATAAAAACACAAAGTTGAGTTTTTTAAAAAGTAAACGAGCAAGTTACAGAAGAATATTTGCTATGTGGTACCACTTTTATAGAGTTTGAAATCTTCAAAATAATACCATGTATTGTGTGGCTATGTATGTACACAGTGAGAACTAGTTCCAAATTTAATGCCTCCCCAAATTTAGGATATCAATTTCCTCTAGGGATAAAAGAAACACAGAGGAATCATAGAGGCTTCAAGTGTTATTTGATGTTTCCTTTTTAAAATAAAATGATGGGAAACGAATAAGGCAGAATGCTATTATTCGACAGATAAGAGCTGGAAAATGACTACTGTATTCTTCTATAGTCTTCTGTTTGCTTGAACTAGTTCACAATTTTAGAGAACATTTTTATTCTCATAAGTTTAGTATACATAGCAAATATTTTCATGTTTTTTCAGACTTTATTTTTTCCAATTTTAGTTTTCTTTCTTTCTCCTTTCTTTCCCACTCCTCTCCTCTTCTTGCTTCCCCTCCACTCCTCTCTCATAGCTGCCAGTTGCCTACCTTTTCTTTCATCTTCCTTCTTTTTCCCTGCCTGCCTATACCATGTCTGGTACTCCTATTTGATTAAAAAACCGTATCCATATATCATAAGCATTCTTCCAGCTAATATTGTCTTCATGTTGATAAGTCCATAATATTCCATTTCATGTATGTATTGTGAGTCTTAAAGCTATTTCTCTATGGTAAAACTTTTAGGTTGTTCCCAATACTTGGCCCTCAGAGAAATATGCTACCACAAACAATAGACTTTCCATTAGTTGTAAAAAGGTTGTGGAAAAGACATCTGACTGCCTGTGACTACACAAGGGGAGGTGACTCAAACTTGTGAGCCAAGGTCGAGGGTCAGACATGTTTGTACCTCCAGCATTCTTCCCAATTCTGATACCAACTATCTCTCCAATACCACCTTCTGTTTCTCAGCCGGCCTCGATAATTCATGACAATGACCACACAGCACTCACAGACCGTGATCCAAGTCCTAATGTTGGTTAGGGAAGTTCACAGGTTACAAACCAGAAGCAGAAAAGCTCAGGGCTGAGTTCTTCCACTCAGGACAGCCTTTTCTCGGTGTGTCCACAGGCAGGCCTCTCTCTGACTCTTGCCTTTTAGCCACATATTCCTTTGACCTCTGCCCTGCTTGACCAATGCTGCAAAGCTTTTCTAGCCCTGCTGACCAATGGCCAAAGGGTATGCCATAAATCTCACCCTGAGGGCACTTGGCTCCAGCTCCGAGAGTTAGCAAATCTAGCGCATATATTAAGTTTGAGGAAGCAGCCCACTGCAAAAATGAGCCTCCTGTCAGAAGGCACTGAACTTTACTCGCTGTGGGCTGGGAAACTTACTTTCTGGCTCATGTCTGGCTCATGGTCCTGCTGAGGATGCTTCTCTGCCACGCCTCTGCTACTTATCTGGTCTTACAGCCTTCTGTTCCTAGATCTAGAAAATTCAATCTTCTGGTCTTAAGGACACTCCATTCTGCTTCACCCTTCTGCTTTTAAGATGGCTCGTTTTATATCCTGTAGAATGGCAAGATTGACCAATTCCTACGTTAGAGTTCTAAGTTTTTACAGTTTAATTAACCCTGCTAACAATCACTCACAAATGAACCATAGAATCATATCAGTAGCTTCCCTCCCCTTCTCTTACTCAGACTCCATCAAGAAAAAGTTAGGTGATGTAAGTTAAAAAGAATATAGCTAGAAGGGCTGTGCTCAATAATATACTGCACTGAATCATATTTACTTTCTACCAAATTGTTTTCTTCAGAAGTTGTATTGGCTTCGTCTTCATAAATGTTATGAATGAGGAATCCAAGTCCTCACATTCTTGCCAACACTATCTCTTAAGAACAGTTAACATTGGGAGCACCGTTTGAAAGGTGAAAATCACTTTAAAGATGAGTGAGGTGACTCAATTGGCTCAGATATTTCCGTTAGTGGAGAGCCACTCCTTAGTCTGCAAGATCTGCTTACTTAGGGTAAAGTGGTCATTGCATTAGGTAGTTTTTGACGTTTGTCCCAGAGCCCCAGGTAAAATGTTCATGTATTATCTGAGCAAGGAAGGAGAAATCTTTTCTAGTGTCATGTGTCTTTCTTCAGGAGAAGAGGTAAATGGATATTCTTGAGATGGGGTCCTTGTGCAGCTGGATTTCTGAAGGGTGTCGGGGTGGGTGCCCGACATGTGAATGGAGCTCTGTCAGCAGCATGCCCTCATATGGATTTTTATCACAAACATACAGATCCTGAATACTTTGCATGAAGTACACGCCTTCTATGCTGCATATTTCAAATACGTCACTGTATTCTTCTATTGTAGTTCTAAAATATAAGAAGAATGACGAAGAAGAATCAATTAAAGACAAACTGTCTAAACTAAGTATTCATTCAATTAGCAAGAAATCTAAAAGAGTGACAAATCATCTAAAGATTCTGACCAGAGGAGAATCACAGGTAATTTTCTTTCTTGGGCCACATACATTTCTCCTGGGATCATAACACTGGTGTATTGGGGGTGTGTGTGTTATTTTGTTGTTATCAGACTAGTTCTTGGAATACTGACAAGCAAAGCAATTAGCCCATGTGCTTTCTTTCTCCCTTTTGGAGAGAAAAGGTGGGTAGGAGGAGACCCCCTGGGTAGTAGGAATGCCTGCTAGCTCTCCTGGCTGCTAACCA